TTTGAGACAAACACTTAAACTTACTGGGAGTACAAAACAATTGGGCAGATGCGTTGTCCTGTCTCAGGCCAGTATCGACAGAAACAGAATGGTTCCTAAAGACATCAAAGTTCAAGAGTCTAGTGAGGTGGTTTGGGACTTTACAAATAGATCTCTTTGCTTCACAAAACAATCACAAGATGCCAACTTATACATCTCTGGAACGATCTAATCTTTTAGGAAATGCTCTACTCATAGATTCGAACCATTGGAATTTAATCTATCTGTTCCCACCTGTGAAAATGTTGCCCAAAGTGGTTCAAAAACTCAGATCCTTCCAAGGAAAGGTCCTCTTAATTGCAGCATATTGGATCCTACATCCGTGGTTTCTGGATCTGTTGGAATGGTGGCCGCATCCACTACAATTGTAACAAGGATGTCTAGACCAGGTACTGCACCCTCAGTTCGAGATATCCTTGGCACTTCACACTTGGAGTTACTCAAAAGATATTTAAATAGATTGTTGGGTAATTCCAATATAGTTAACCAAGTGATAGCAGGTCATAGACCCCAAACTTCTATGCAATTTGAGAAAGCTTGGAAACTTTTTCAATACAGTAATTGATCAGGTTAACAACTCCAATCACATTGTCGGAAACAGTGGTGTTAGAATTTTTAGATTTTCTGTTCCGAGTTAAAGGCCTTCAAGGATCTACAATTGCATCTTAATAATCAGCATTGGTTGACCCTCTGGCATGGGGTTTTAATATTACTTTGAACCCAAGAATTTATCAAATGCTCAGATTGTCCTTTTTCATTCAGAAACCCCTCAGCCTAGGAGAATCCTACTTTGGTCTCTAAATAAAGTTACTAAATTTCTTATGGGGCCTAATTACAATATAAATCTGAATCGGGACAGATTGCTCCAGAAGGCAGCCTTCCTTCTAGCAATAGCAACAGGTATGAGAATCAGTGAGCTGATTTCAATTTCCAATAATCCATCATTATTGGTATTTTCTGAGGAAGATGTCACCGTTTTTCCAATGGAGATTCTAAGAAAAAATGAAAGGGAAGATTTTCAAGCTCAACCTATCAGGATAAAACGGCTAATGGATGAGACAAGGGTTCCTCATAGGTTGTGCCCAGTTAAGATTCTTCAAAAATTGTTAACCAGATTCTCTAATCGAGGCCCCTATGTATTCTCATCATATGATGGTAAGAAATTGTCTCCTAGTCAAATGACAAAATATTTTTCTCAGTTAGTGAGTCAAGCAGACCCTGGCCAAAAATTTTTGGCACATGACACCAGGAAATATGCAGGGTCTGTGGCCTTTCTGTGGCACATGAGCCTCAGTGAGATCAAAGAAGTGGGCTTTTGGAAATCATCAAAAACCTTTCAAAACAGCTTTCATCATCTATCTCTGAAAGATGCTTCACATGTGGTGGTACTGGGGTCCCCTCCCCCACCTAGTTAATCTCCACAACCAGAACCTTCTTCTTCCTCACCAGAATAAAGTGAGTATCCTAATTAGGATATGTAAATTAACATTTTACCTTCTGGTAAATGTTCCCAGTATTGTAAAATATGCCAAAAAGTTAATAATTATAATCTGGACCTAAGCTAGCAGAGCCTTATATGCAATGTCACCTCCCTCTCCACCACCTGCTCGGGTAATCAAAGCTAGACGTCGCATTCTGGATTCAACAAAAAGCCGTTTTTTTCTAAAAAACCCCCCCAGTTTTTGTGATATACTGTAGTCCAGAATGCGACGTCAACATTCCACCCATCTCCACTCCTGGAGAGTTGACATTTGTTTGCTGCTCGCTCTAGGGCAAGAGATGACGGTAGCAATGCGTGTGATGGAGGGTGCGGGAGGGGGTTTTGAGAATTGCAATTAAATGCCAGGTAGCGACGTTATCCTCCTAATATTACGTATTTAAGTAATTATTAGATGTTTTAATTGCCTGTATGTTGGCCTGGCGAGTTAATGCTAGGCATTTACATACCTTGGTCTAAAGCTAGACGTAGCATTCTGGACTATATCACAAAGACAGCCAGACAGCCTGGCGACTGACTGTGTGTGTGTGTGTGTGTTGCCGAGCACTTTTTATGAAAAATAATGCAAATAAAATATTCTAAATGGATTATTTATAGCAAATAAGTTTTATGATCAGTTAATATATGCATTACTGGCCATCTCTGACACAAACGCAAGCTAAAAATAGCTGCTAAGAGCGTAGGTGACCACGAGCTCAGCTGTCAAAACAACACTGTCCCCTTATCTCCCTCCTTCAGTGCTGCCAGGGAAGTTTCTAGAGTGTCAAGGTGTTAACCTAACTTTTAGATTAAGTATTCAGGATTATTATAAAAAAATAAAAAAATAAAAAAATAATGGAGTGTTTAATGAAATTAGAACTAATTTTATTGACTCCGGTATCAACATTTCTTACGCTTTTTTTATAAAAGAATCGAATTCCCATCACTACATAAATAATTTGTTTAAGGATATCTTATTGCAAATGTTTCGTAGAGAATTTATTAAGGATCATGGTATGAAATTCACCTCCTTATCACAATTTGCCAAGCTTGAGTGAGGAAGGGTGGGAAGAAAAGTGACTGTGCGACCCTCCCCCCCAAAAAAGGTTCACCTACCACACTCTTCAGCCAAACATTACACACCAACATTACACCCCTACATCACATACACACCTTCCAACACACCCCTACATCACCCACACACACCCTCGAACACCACCATCACCACCCACACATCACACACACATACCCACACTGCAACAACCACCCAGACACACACACACACACTCCAACAACCACCCACACACACACATCCCAACAACCACCCACACATACCCTCCGGACACACACACCCTCCCAACACACACACCCTCCCAACACACACACCCTCCCCACACACACACCAACATCACACCCTCCCCACACACACTCCAACACCACTCACACACCCCTAAAAAGGGAATTAAGACAGCAAACATAAGGAGTGAGGGTTTTATTGTGTGACAAATTTGCTCATGTGTGTGTGTGTGTGACTGCAAGTTAAATATCAGCTGTTGAGGAGTGCTTGTCAACACTCATTTCCACTCCGTCTCTCTAATTACCCACACCTTTTTGCTTTCTCACTCCATATTTTAAAATGTTATGTAATGTAATGTTGAAGGGATACAACTTTGCTCATTTATGCTTTTACTTATCACAATCTCTCTAAAAATACTTTAGGTTTTGTGTTTATTCAAGACATCTTCAGGTCATGAGACCCACTAACCCCCTACCCAAGAAAGGATGACCTGACATTCCATCAGAAGGTCAGTAATATGAGAACACTAATCCCCACCTAACATTACATCAGGTCAGATACACGAGACCCACTAATCCCCTACAGCTCCATGCGAGTGGAAAATAACAGTCTTTGCTGTAACACACAGCTTCATTCATGCCCATATCATATAGTTTTTTAATTTTCAAATATATTTATTTTACCCAACTTTTAGATAAATTATTCTGGATAATTAAAGTAAAGAAATGGAGTTTCTAACTTAACTAGAAATGCATTTAAGGACTCCGGTAGTTTAGACTCAAGGAAAACATCCCTAGCACCCAGAAACATTCTGGGGAAGTGGGCCAGTGTCTGTGTGTCCAAGATGTCTAGTTTAGACACTTGGAAACTTTTCCCAGTAACCGGAAAAGATTCTGGGGATAAAGAATATTTCCGGGTTTGAAAAAGTCATCTGGTTAGCCGGAAATCTCTCATCCCCGGAAGTGCTCTGCACCAATTGTTCTGGCTAACGGGCATATCAATATATCTCCGTTGGCCGCAATCCCTCAAACCCGGAACTCTATGACAACTGGAATTGAAATTTTCTCGGAAAATCGTTCCCAAAGCCAGAATTTTCCAGAAAATTCTGGCTTTGGGAATGATTTTCTGAGGGGCACATTTTCTTGAAAATTCCAAGAAAATTTCCAGGGATGGGGGGACATTTTCCGGCTTTGAGAGATGAATGCATTATTCTGGAACTTCCGAGGACATTTTTCCGTTACCCGGAAAATTCCAGGTATGAGGGATTTTTTCCAGCATTGAGAGAGTCGTCTCAATACCCGGAAATCTCTCATTGCCGGAAGTGCTCTGCACCAACTGTTCCGGCTAACGGAGATAAGACAATCAGCAAAAATCTCCAGGAGTCAGCTGGCCTCACTGCTGTATAATGATTAGTACTGTACTACCAAGTGCTTAAGTACCGGGTATCCCATTACTCAAGTTACTCAGCTTTTAGATATGCAGAAACCTATGATAACACAAACTTATATACTAACTAAAAAATAGTAAAGAGTAATACAGTAACAATAATGGACTTCAGCTGCCTATCAAAGCATGCTATGAAGACAACCTGGTCTTACCAAACACAAATACAGTATTTTCTCGATTTAACGAACTAATTCGAGCCACCCCCTTCCCCTAAATCGAAATTCCGTTATTTTCACCAGATTTAGTGAACTAGTTCACTAAATCAGGCGTGATTCCGTTAAATTCTGTGCCAAATGCGCCACTTGGCGTGTGGGGTCTGTTTACATCAGCTCAGTCTATGTCCTGTGTCAACTAACTACTGTGCTTAGGCATAATGCCAAAAGTCTCTCTGAAGTCTCAGAAAGAAGTGGTGTGGGGAGAAAGTCAAAAGAGTGCAGCTATCAATTGGAAAAAAGTTTGGAATTATAGAAAAACTTGAAAACAAACACCGAACCCCCTAGTTTAAGGAAAGTCATGAATAATGTTTCTATGTACATATCATGTGTCTGAGGTGTCTCCGTAGGTGAGAGCGTATTAACGGAATTCATCTCGATTTAGCGAACTAGTTCACTAAATAGAGTGAAAAATAAGGGAAAAATTTCCTTCTGGTAAATCGAGTTTGTTATATCGGATTCCGTTAAATCGAGAGTACTGTATAGTACTGTACTGTACACTCCACAACTCATTCATAACAATACATACCGGTAAATAACCATCCTTTGCCCATACGGTAGATTTTTGTTCCCCTTCTACTCAGTGTCACTGGTAGAGGAATGTGATGTTCCACTGTCGACTGTGTCATTTGAAGGACATGTACTGGATGCAACTCCCGTTAAATTTTCCAAATTCTGTGAGGAATGTATTGTAGGGAGATGTGGAGGAGCTGCAGTGCTGCTCCATGCCTGAGGTGCTGTATTATTCTCATTTGTGCCACTTGACAAGCATCTATCAGATGAAGAAGCAGGAAGATTATCACATTCTGCCAGAGGATGAAATACAGGAAGGTCTAGATCTCCTGTGGGGTTCCAGTTTTGAACTGACACATTATTGGTTGTGTCTTGTGATGTACACACACTGGATCCCGGCAAGTTGTCCTGTTGCTCTTGTGGTGGATTATATGTAGGCAGCTGAGGAGTCTGAGTGTTGCTCCATGGCTGAGAAGTAACATTGTCAGAAGTGTCAATTGAGGAGCAGGTGCTGGATGTGATTCCTTGCATATTTCCTGATTCCTTGAGCTGCTGTTGAAAACCGGGAGTATGAGAAAATTTTGTATTGCTCCAAGACAATGATGTAATGTTGTCTGTTGCTTCATTTGCTGAACTTCTCCCTTGTGTGGATGCTAACATATGTTCTCGTTGCAACAGAGAGAGAACAGCAGGCAATGTTGGAACTGTAGCACTGCCCCAAGAGAAACTCTGTCCACTAGTGCCAGATGTTGATGCTTCATTTGACTGTTGCCGTCCTAAAACAGGGAGTCAACTTTCAACCACAAATAGATAATGTCACAGCTTATGTAAACACTAGCTAAATGACAAAAGTAGATAATGCCGAATGTTTCATGCATGTCTACAAAGGGTTGTTACTATTAAAGTGATCAAAATTTGATCAAATAGGGTTCAATAATATTGTTTTTATTACACTGTAACAAAAGCACCATCAACTCATGCAGGAAAGTAATTCTTAAGAAAAACACGTGATATATTTCATATAAAACATGTCCTAATTCAGGCACATATGGGAAACCAATGTTTAACAATTCTAAAATTCCTAGAGAGTGATTCTAGCTCAAGACAACAGCAATACAGTACTGGGCTTGTCTGGATCATCATCCAACACACCTTGAACAGCCTCCATATTAATGCCTTGTTCAACGACATTATGACGGCTGATGAGATGTTTCTTGAGGTTGTACTTGATGGCTGTGCTGTGCTCACAGTAGGGACACTTGAAGGGCTTCTCGCCAGTGTGTGTTCGCAGGTGCCGGGTCAAGTCAGATCGCAGGAAGAATCGCTTTGGGCAGAAGGTGCACTGGTGACTGGCCCCAAGGGAATGGCCAGCCAGTGCTCTGGCCCACACCGCTGCCTTGCCTCCACCACCCTAAAACACGGACACCAATTTTAGGGAAAAAATCTTCAAAAGATGTACACTGGGCCACACTAGTGCATTCCTTCTTGAGGACCAATTTTAATCAAAATACATTAAAAGGTTATTTTAGCTCATAACTTGTTAGTGAGGAAAATGGTACATACAGATTTCCTACTTGATACTAATACAGTATCGCTTACATACAGTATATATGAATGCACTATTTATTAGAATGACTTTTCAGCCGAAGTGTACATATTTTGATGTTTTACCCCTCTCCATCACATAACATAAGACCATTCAATACTATACAACAATCCATACATACAGTACAGTATTAACAATATAACTGATGTATCACCATCTACCAGTACCTTGTACATGTACTTTGTATATTCCAAAACCTAGACAAATTTTTCATTGAAAAAAGCTGAGGATCAGTATTTTTCACAATCAGATAACAATCAAGATTTGTAAGGCAATTGAATGAAAAATCAACATGTTTTTATCTTAACAATATTGAATATGGTCAGATTAGTGTCAATGTACTGAATTATGTGAGTCAAATACAGTATAATAAGGCAAAGGGCAGTAAGATCCCTTAATAACACACTTGTTTGATAAGTTTTATAAAACAAATGAAGAATTGTTGACAATTCAAAGACTGTGTGCAAGTAAAAAATGCCCCACAGCAAATCATGTACCTTAGGACTACCTTTTGAAATTTGTCAATGACCTCCCTATATGCTCAATCACAAAGGTGATTGATTAGATGGGCCACAGACCTAATAATTGGGTTAGGGCAGAGCTCAGCAGGACTTGGACCTATTTGACCATCAGCTATACAGTGATACCCAGTCCCTTATACCCTTATGTCTTTATTTGTTTCTACCCACACAATGAGCCCTCTACTCGAAAGTGTTATGGAACTGTGGATAAGTTGTAAGGGAAAAACTGCTTTTAATGTGTAAGGTAATGATGATGTAAATGTGATGGGAGACATGCTAAAGAGAATACTAGTTTCAGGGGTTTGATTCCCAGGTTCTCCCATTTCACCCGACTTGGGGAAGTGAATGTGGTCGAGTGCAGTACCGGCCATGCAGCCTCCTAGTGTACTGAAGGCTTAGTATACAGTGTGCTGTATCCACAATGTCCCTAATGGGCACTCATGCCTATGGGACCCACTTTCACTTTTCATGGTCTCAGAATATGCGAGGGTTACATTCCTGGGATCGCGCATAAATCCACATTCTTGTATATTCAGGTCCTGTATACTGTATACAGAATAGCATAACCCCTTTTTTATACGAAGGTAACCGATGTACAACTTCGGAGTTCAATACACCACTCCTTAATAAGTCCAATATAATTACCCTTTCTCCCAAAGTTCTCACAGTACTGTACTGTATGTTTATTTATTTTTTCTCATCTCATCACCATGAACACTGCCACCAATTTTCCTCTTATAGTCAGGTGGCTTAGTGAAATTACCGTTACAGGAAGAGGATAAAAGCGCCAAAATTTGTTTGAAGCTTCCTTTGATCATACTTATCAGATTTAGAAGGGGAGCCACTTTCAAATATTTTCCAAATTTGTGTACAATACAAAATTCAAAATGGCCCACACCACTCTCTTGGCCTTTGAGAACCTTCAGCAAGAGGCGTTTCTGCATTCACCAGGTCCGCATGATGAAAGCTCCAAGGAAGCATGGCAGAAGGACATGGTGAAGAAGAGCACTACTTTCATGTATTGGAATCCGACTTGCAGCTATGAAACCCTCATCCTCATTTTAATCAGGGCTCACAGAGAGAAGAACTTTCCCTTGTATGTGGCTGTCCTGGAGGAGCTCACACCATTGTTCTTCGCTTTAGAATTAGATCATGTCAATTATGCCAGGTGGATGCCGATCCATATTAGAGACATGCAGTCATTGCCAGATCAAGTCAAGGACGAGTTCTTGAAGGAAGGCCATGGGGTTCTCTCCAAGACCAGCAACAAATTTCTACAATTCCCATTGATCAAGCTTATGAGCAGGAAAACAAGAAGGTCAAGGGCTCGGAAGGTGCAGCAGGACTTACAGAGAATCCTGCTGCCATCAGGTATTGTTAATACAAGTGTGAATGATACATTTTAGTGGTTTGCAAAGGATTCATAAATTGCAATTCTAACTCTTAGAAACATAAATCTGACACCTATAGGCAGGATGCTTAAGTTGATATAATAAAGTAATAAAATATAACAGCACACAGATATGTATTTTACCAGATGCTGGATGCTATCAAGCCCCCAGATAGCAAGACCACTGAAACAGTTTGAAGGAGAGTATCTACCTGATGATGAGCCAGAGAATCCATGAAATTTTCATAACCATAAGCAGGGTCTCTCAACCCAGCAAACCTTTCAAAAGCAAGTCAATAGTCTCTCTGAAACCTTCAGGGGAATAGGTAATCCATTCTTGATTGACTTCCCAGATCTAGTCACACTCGATAATAGGATCTGTATGGATGAGTCTGTCGCAGCTACAGTACAAAACTTCAAGGACACAGGGAAAAGACAATACAAAGACTTTGTCACAAATGTCATTGTGGAATGCAACCAATCCATCCATAGTCCTATCAAAAAAAATTCCTTTGCTCTATTCAACAGCCCCAAGCACAAAACAACCTCCAAAACAAGGGGAAAAAGTCAGTGCTCCAGAACACTGTTGCACTATTTGGCCAACTGCATGTCTCAATGCAGAACAGAGAGAGTGCCCTCATGGAATTCTTCTCACATAATATACAATCTTTTTCACCCTCCCTCTCAGACTTTGGCAAGTTTCATCTGCCAAGCTCAAAGAATGACCTCATGAAGTGTCTACAGCAGCCTGACCAACCTGTGTCACCTCCTATATGTGACTGTAGGATTTTGGATGGAGCTGCCATTGTCCACTCCCTACCTACTGCTGGTGTCAGCACCTTTGAGGACTATGGAGACAAGGTCTTCATCCTGTTTCTCAAGAATCACCTACAGACTGCCAACAGGGTAGGCATTGTTTGGGACACATATATTCAAGAAAGTCTGAAGAAGTCTACCAGGGAAAAGAGAGGGAAAGGTGTGCGCCAAAAAGTGTCAGGTCAGGCTTAAGTTCCAGGCAACTGGATGGACTTCCTTCGTAATTCACAAAACAAGAATGAACTCTTTGCCTTCCTGACTTCTAAAGTTGGAGATTTTGACTGCCCGACTGGAAAAGCTGTGTATATCACATCAGGTTTCTTTATTTATCTCCAAAGACATTATTGAAATAACCATTGCTCCATTTATTAGCATGTAAATATATCATTCATGCAATGAATAGAAATTTTAGTACTAAAATTATAAATTTTATACTTTCAGGGGAGTCTGTGATATCAGTAGGCTCCTATAATCCAATGTCAAACTGCAACCATGAGGAAGCAGATGCCAGGATTGTAGTTCACATGGAGCATGATGCAACAAAAGTTCAAATCCGAATGGTAGACACAAACGTGATAGCCATTGTTATTGGCAAATTCCAAACCTCACTATTCAGCAGCCAAACAGCAAACATCTAGGTGGCATATGGCACAGGGAAGAATTTCTGTTTTCACAGCACTAATCACATCTGTGCCTCCCTTGGTGAGCTGAGATCTAGAGCCCTTCCTGTGTTCCACATTCACTGGATGTGACCAGCTCCTTCAAAAGGGCAATAAGTCCGCCTGGCAGGCGTGGCAGTCCTATGAAGAGGTCACAGAGACATTTGTGCACCTTGCTCAACATCCCATTGAGCTACTGCACAAAGACTTCCACCACTTCCAGAAGCTTGAAAGGTTTACAGTAATAATGTATGATAGGGCCAGTGATTTCACCTCCTTCAATGAGACCAGAATGACTCTCTTCTGCCACCAGAACTGTGCCATGGAGAAGCTGTCACCTCCACAGGTATTATAAATTAAACTGATGATATTGCTACTTTACAGTACTCATACATCAATCACATAATGTTGTTAACATGTAATCTTCAGTCAATTCCTTATCTTTTATTTCAGGATGCACTCCTTCAGCATGCCCAACGTGCAGTGTTACAGGCTGGAATAAGGTGTATCGGTGACCAAACACAGTACGCTGTGCCGTCCCCAGAAGGATTTGGATGGGCCAAGAAGGATCATTGGGTATCAGTCAGGATCACAACCCCTGAAGTTTCCAAAGTTTGCAGCCAACTAATAAAGTGTTCCTGCAAGGGTGGCTGTAGGGTCTGCAAATGTGTGAAAGCTAATCTGGGCTGTACACCACTTTGCAAATGCAAATGCATAAAGTAGTTAAGATTATACTTCCATAATCATGTACATGACTATGAGTTACCAAAGTTTTTATTATTTGAGTGTACTTATGTATGAGTATCAGAATTGCATCACAAATAAACATTATCACGAACATTTTGGCCTCAGTGATAATCACTGACCTTTCTATAAAATATATGGATGGTTTTACAGCATTGTAATCCATTCTATTGTAATCCTTGACCCTGAAAACCTACATTTCAACACCAAATTTGCCTCCCTGTGACCTATATAAGCAGAGTTGTATGATCTTTAAATTTTGTATTGGTCATTTTGGATTTTGCATCTTATAAGAATTCCGAGAATATTTGAAGGTGGCTCCCCTCTTGATTTGATAAGTATGGCCAGAGGAAGCCTGAAAAAAAAAGCTTTTATCTGACCTTGAACGATAAAGTGATATTTTAACGCTTAGCCACCTGACTATTAGGGACCATGACTGCGGTAAAATTCACCAGTTAAGAAAGACTTTACCAGCTTAAACTCATGGGAGATATTCATGGAACCAGTGTGAGAGAGAGAGGACACTAGAATTATGTTGTTTATTTTTCAACTCATAATTTTGGGTAGATATATGCATTTATTTTTACTCTCTTACATGCACACTCAATCTTTCACACAGAATGTGAAAAAAAATAAATAAATACAAATAAATAAAATAAAATAAAAATATAAAAT